AGCAGCAGCAGCAGGAGCAGCTACCAAGCAGCGGCAGCAGCGGCAGCTACCAAGCAGCAGCAGCAGCAGCAGCTACTAAGCAGCAGCAGCAGCTACCAAGCAGCAGCAGCAGCAGCAGAGCGAGCTTTCCTTAGAGTCTTTCGTGCCCCAACATTTGGTCTCGAACAATAGCACATATAGGTGCTGCCTGAGTAGTTGTAGAAGGGCGACGTGGAAAGACAGATATATCTGATTTTTCCACGAATAAATGCTGACGCTGCAGCCAGCAGCGGTGTGCATGATTGACATCTAGGGCTTGCACGCGAACATGTGTCAGCGATCGAAGACTCCGTCGCAACGCTTGCGCATGCTCCCTGTCGCTCAAAATGGAACGCGGACTACCATGAGTGAAGCAAACAGCCCGTTCAAACATCTTACTGGGTTCTGTCATTCATGTGCGTAGTAAGTATCATCTTTTGATCTGCATGGATAGCGGATAGTGCATTCTGATTTGTACTCTTGGGGGTTGTGGGGTGAGTACATGCCTGTACAAGCTTCTTAAGGATATAATGAAATTAATTAGCATCGTTTCACAACTCAGAGGGAATGCAACTACTCTCGATTCAAACGAATAGGCTTTCTTCAGCACCAACAGCAGCCAACAACCCCAAACAGCAACAGCAGCAAAACGGAGCAGCAGGCAGCCAGCATCCAGCAGCAGCAAGCATGCAAGCAGCAGCAACCAGCAAGCAGCCAAGAGCATCCAGCAGCACCAAGCATGCAAGCAGCAAGCAGCAGCAACCAGCAAGCAGCCAAGAGCCAGGCGCAGATGAGATGCCAGCAGCAGCAGCAGCAGCAGCGACCAAGCAGCAGCAGCAGGTACCGAGGAGGAGAAGGGTGGAGTTGAACCCCGCGAGGGGGGGGGTATAGTCCTGATATATCAGGTCACAGCACTCAGGTCCCGGGCTCCCACCCTCCTTGCTAAAGCAAGACAGACTCCAGCTAGCTACAGCTAGCTTTCGTGACTTGACTATGAAGAGGCCATGTCCAAAACATCACTTGCACGCGCAAAAGTTCACTCACTAGCACATTCATGAGCCAGTTGCCCACGCTGCGACTCACTTGCGCACACTGGCATGTTGTTACATTGGAATGCCACCTTCCTTTTCTAAATTTTACCCTCGCGTGGCTCACAAAAGGTCTGCAATGTTGGAATGGCACCTTCCTCCTCCAAATTTTATCCTCGGGTGGCTCACAAAAGGTCTGCTACCTTGGAATGGCTCTAAATTTAACCCTCGCGTGACTCACAAAAGGTCTGCTCTCTTGGAATGGCCCCTGACTGATCCAAATTTTGCCCTAAGGTGGCTCACAAAAAGGTCTGCTACCTTGGAATGGCCCTTCCTCGTCTACATCCGTAAGGTGGCTCACAAAAAGGCACCATTGGTGCCTCGCAAAAGGTTTGCTACCTTGGAATGGCCCCTTTCTCCTCTAAATATCACCACCAGGTGGCTCACAAATGGGCAGCTGTGTTGGAATGGCTCCTACCTGGTCCTACCTCCTCTACATTTTACCCTCAGGCGGCTCACAAAAGGTCTGCTACCTTGGAATGACCCCTTCCTCCTCTAAATTTTAACCTCGGGTGGCTAGCAAAGGTCGGCTACCTTGGAATGGCTCCTCGCTCTCACCTAAATGTTGGTTTTAATGCGTCTTGTAAGCACATGTAAGCAGTGCTGTACTTCAATGTTTCTCCACAAACACCGCAAAAAGACAATGACATACATATGCGCAAAGTGTATTGAAGCTTCTCTGTCTAATATGTTTGTGTAGCTAAATAATATATATATATATATACGAAGCACGAGTGTGTGCGAGTTGCGCAGTACTGCAGACCGAACAGCAACAACTGCAGCACAGTAGACCAAACAGCAACAAAAATCAACAGAAGCAACAAGAGCAGAAAAGCAGCAAAGCAACCAAAGCAACAAAAAATGAGCCGAGTCAAAAAAAACAAAGCAAACAAGCAGCAAAAGCAAAAAAGAAGTAAAATAGCAAAGCGATGCAAAAACAATCAGCAAAAGAAAAAAAACAGCAAAAGCAGAAAAGCAGCGAAAGCAAAATCTGCAAAATTCTGAACAATACGTGAAAATCCCTTTAAAATGTCCATCCGAATTATTTGTCCCAACAAACCTCGGCACCAGCAAGGATTCTTGCCTCATTCCCAACCCGTCACACAGGCCTTCGTTCTTCTCGTTCTGTTGCACTAGCACTGGTTCCTGCAGTCCGATCGATTCCAATCGGATTGCACTCTTCCTTCTGTCCGACTACATCGACCAGATCGATTTCTCAACGTTTTAAGATGCGTCGCATCGTCCGGTGAAACCACGACCGTCCGGTCGCTCCAGCCTCTAACCATGAAAAATTGTAGAAACCCAAGCCGTCGATGGTCTCGGGAGTCATGGCCTTGCAAAGCGATCAGCGGACCGGGCCGGGGCAATCGGAGTGTTGAGATATGTTGAGATTTGGAGACAGAATGAAACATAATAAAACGAACCATGTGAGACATATTTGGGATCCATGAATGATGATCTATTTTTGGGGAAATCAAAGGAAACACAAGGAAACCGTGGGATCCGGTGGGTGTCAATGATGTAGGGCTACAATCTACATCATCTCATCAATCCAGGTGTCCCGGCAGGTGGCAGTGCAAAAGCCGACAACTCAAGATCCAACTCTGGCGCATCCAACGGCTGGTAACCTGCAGCTGCTGAGCTCTGAGCTGGCAAGCAATGTGACAAACGGCATCAAACTGCCAAGGCCAATGGCATCAAACTGCCAACCCAGCGGAGCTGCAGTGACAAACCAGTTTCTGATGTTTGAGGACAGATCATGACAGATCTGTCAAGGTCTTAAGGATTCTGAATCGTGTCAAGAAGCATGGGGTACATGGCGGAATTGGTACATCGCCAAAGACCTCAGATGCTAAGAGTGCAGCACGACATTTTTGCAGAGACGGGACCCTCCAGTGTCAGAATGATTCCTATGCAAAATAGTAGAAGTTAGCATACACTCACGTCCTATCTTGAAAGAATGAAGCACACAACAGTGCGAGAGCCTGCATAATGCGTCCAGTGTGTTCAGGGCGGAAGCTGCCCAAAAGGGCATGCTCCTTGAGCTTTCGGGAGTCTCTCTTGACCTTTGTTGCACCTACGGGGCAGGCTGTGCCCATAGTTCTTTCCCGGCACTTTCCTGTGTTGTAATTTGAAAGGACGATTCGATTCGCCCTTCTCTCAGGACTCGCCCTGAAGAATACCGAAGCCACACACATCTCCGGTCTGTATAAACTCACATAAACTCCGTCTAACTTGTTGGAAAGCACATGCAGTTTCGCCCACAGGTTGCACCCCAATCCTAGTCCTAGTCGGGACTATACTTGTCTAGAGTCTACATGCCGTGAGCCACAGCCGCTCCAAGAATCTGACCATGTCGAAGCCCACTGCAGCTGTGAATTAAAGTGAGGCGAACTACGACGTGACTGCTGCACACCACCGATCTTGTAATGATCCTAAAAATGAGCTACGGGCGCGCAAGACAATCATGGCTTCACACTCATCTGACTCATGATTCCACCAGGCCACCAGGGTCAAATTATGTCAACAAAACATCGCCCAGGAATAATTTAATACTATTCTAGACCCGTTCCACATAGATTTGAGAAATTATTCCTGTCTCATCCACATGTGAAATAATCATATAAAGCGAAAACCACCATAGACCCCCCCGATTCCATGTTGAATAGCCAGATCACGTCAAAATCACTAGCTATAAAATGATGTAAACTCATGTTTTCAGCGGCTATCTACAAAAATTATTCTGAGGTATCTTGACATTCACTGGTCCAGAAGGAGGCAAACATCATTTATACCCCCTATAGAAATATGTCAAACATGCTCAGCTCATGTGTTTAATCATGTCAAAACAAATTTGTCCTGATGTGACATGCCCCCCTGGAAAAGTGGAATAGTTATTTAAGGTAGGGGCCATCAAAAAATTACTCTCCTCATTTGCTTGGCTTCTTGGAAGCCTCCGAGCCTCCCTCTTCAAAAAGGTTCACCAGGCGGATGACTACACGTCCAAGAGAATTCAAGGGAAGCGAAATGATTCCTTGATGGCCAAATCTTGTTTGTATATACGTTGGATTGGATGCCTCGGTGATGCTGCATGGATTGTGAATGTATGATCCGAAGCCTTCAAGAACTGAGACAGGACCTCCGGGGCGCTCTCCCAGAACTCCTCTGGTAGCTTCGAATCTGCCATGCCCAAGTACAATGAGCCACTAAAGCTATCAAAAGCTATAGTATATTATATATATACATATATATATATATACGCACAAAGTGCAGCTCTTTGTCCTGCCACGTAACATCCGCCAAAGACTATGGCAATACCTCTGGTCTCGGCGTGTATTTTGCTCAAACGTACCCCAAGACCCACCAGCTTTAGTCTTCTTGTCTACCAATGCGTCGATGGTACGTGCTTTCCGGCAAATCCTCTCCTCAGATTGCTTGGCGGGCATGTCCAAGAATGCAAACCTAAGGTTGGAACAGGTTTTGAACAGCATGGTTTTCTGATTCTTTAAGGGAGCGTAGGCCGTGGAAGCTGCAGTGCAGCAGCTAGTCTGCTTAGAGAACCCTCGCTCTATGAAACAGTTGCTAGACTTGGGTGAAGAGAAAATGTCCAACAACTTAAATATATAGTTGAAAAAATAAACATCACTGTGAGAGTCACTTGGAGGCATTGAAGGCGCTGCTGCTGGCTGCGGCTACTGCCGGAAAGCGGCCTCTGATTTGGAAAACCAGGAACCAAATGAATAGCGTGAGCTATCCTGCGCCCAGTAGGTAGTGGCCTATAGGTTACTGTGTAAGCTATCCTGCCCTTATTTATATAATTAAGTAGGCGCCTACTGGGCTTTAGAAAAATTTGAGATCGTCACCCGTCACACCTTTGGTTCTTCTACTCCAAAACTAGCTCTTGACAGCACCAATGCCTGGTGGTAGACCATGCTGCCGCCAGTCACTTGAACCTGCCAGTCGGAGGGTGCTCGCCCAATAGATTGGCGTGAGAGAGCTCCTTTCTGTCCCGCCTTGCGAGGCATTCTTGGCCATAAAGGCCAGCTGCCCAAAGAAGTCACCCGAAAGGCGACACAGCACCTTGGACGAAACAAAACGAGTTGCGTGTGACATCGTGTGGCCATTGGCGCAGGCTACAGGCGCTCAAGAAAGTAAATCAGAAACCGGGGCAAAGAGTGATTCGGAGCGCACCCTCGCAGTTCTGTTGATACCTTCGTCTTGCACAAAGTGCCTTGTTGCAGCCCTGTTTCGGCACAAAGTCACAGCATGTGCAGCCGAACTGTGAAATGTTACGATTGCCTTGCGATCCCCCTGCACACCTTCTTGGCAACGGCATCAAAAGGACCGTCGTCGAGGTAGAGTCGGACGAGAGGCAATGCCAGATCCTCTGCTGAGAGCGACATGATGCCACACGTATCTGATCGCATCCGTATGTGTTCCTAGATTCGATCGTTTGCTGCATCTTTTCTTCTACAGGAAACACAATGGGCAAAGCCAGCACAGCAAACAAGTACAAACTACTGAGCAACTACTGCGAAAGCATATCGTCCTCGTAGGGCTCTTCATCTGAGAAGCTTCGGACATCTCCCTGGCACAGCCCCACTATTGAGGCACACAAACGCAACATAGTTTCACACTTCAGCGCCAGAGACTGACGATCTTCAGAGACAAAAGCACACAATTCTAAGCCCTCGGCCACACAGGGCACCGCCACATTTTGAAGCCACCTACCAACTAAACAATCTTATTTAGGTTGAAAATAAATGACTATAGACTATTGATCTTACTTGCCATTCATGTATTCATCTCCACATATCTCCACTGTGTGTACCACCACTTCAACTTGCCTTTTGCAACACGTGCGTAGCAAGCTCAAAATACAAGCCTAGCTAGGGTCATGAACGCAAGGGTACGTTGATCTATTGTGCTTGAAGAAAACTACGCACCAATTTCTTTCGAGTCCAGGCCAAGCGGTCAACTAGGCAATAAGATGTATTTTTAAAAGGGGGGTAGGCCGTAGAGGTAGTAGCTATAGAGGTAGTAGCTATAGCTAGTAGGAGTTTTTTCGCGTGCGTGCGGGGGTAGGCCGCTAGTAGTTTCAATAGCTAGACGCAGGATAGCGCGCGCTTCTTCAGGAAACTCCCCCGCCGCCCGCCGGGGTGCCAGGGGAAGCTTCCTTGAAGAAGCGCTCGCACTAGTGATGTGGTTCCTAGACTTTTAGGGAAACTTAACATTTGTGATTTGCCTGGACACAAACTAAGCATTTGGAGAGAATGAGGGAGCAAAGCAACGCAACGCATACCGCATACCTTCCTAGCAGGTGAGATGGAGTTGCAAGTTGGAAAGATGATTCTCGCAAGATGTGATTCCGCCCGTAGCAGGGATGTGATTCCGCCCTCTGATCTGAGAGTGTTGCACTGAGAAGTTTCCACCAGTGAAGTATCTTGCCTCTGCCTCACCAAGCAAAGCGCCAACGAAATGTCAAAGTCTCAAAACCATCATGAATGACGGGAAGTTCTCATTGCCTCTCCAGCTCGCCATGCCACTGCTTTGGCCAATCGCAGCCCCAAACGATCATGGTCCTCTACCTTAAATGGTGTTTGTTGCTTCAAGCATTTGGAGAGACTTGTTTTAGTCTAATTGTACCCACGGCGCGGATTCTTGACAAGTCTAACTTCCCCCCCCCCTCCCTCCCCCCCTCCCCTCCCCTCAGCCAAAAGGGCCGGGGGAACAATCCGCAGGGGTAAATATTTAAACAGGACGGCCCCTTTAGATGCATTTCGCTTGAATTTGCAAATTGTGGAAGGACAGGAAAGCAAACTCTCTAGGCTTTAGGCCTTTGCTACGGCCACATCCAACCTCAGTGCAAAGCTTGTTGAGAAGAAAAGGACTCGTGAAAAAGCAAACAAAAAAGAATGCGAGAGAGAGAGAGAGGAGTTAATAAACGATCAAGAGGACTCCAACCCTCTGGAGTTGTTGCTTGGCTCGCTTTGTGCTTCTTCATGAGCAATGAGTTTCAATGAGTTTAGCTGGTGCTTTTGCTCGTCCTTTGACTTGGATCTGCTTCGCCCCAAGGTATCGGACTTAAGACCTTAACACTGCAAATTGATAGGTTGTTGGGGTCACCTGGTTGGTTGCTCGGATAATCTTGGATCATCTTGGATGCTTGATTGTTGGTTTAGTGCGGAAGACTGGAGGCACACAGGGCACACTGTGGCTCGAGGACTGTGGAGAATGCACACACATCCAGCGGCGAAAAGAAACTACTGTTGTGTGATCTTGTGTGTGTGTGTGAGAGCTTCCTGTCAAGACTCCACGTCTCCAAATTAGTACAAGAATAGGAAGAGATATTTCTAGGTTGGAGGCCATCGCTATTAGGTTGGAGGCCATTTCTAGTAGGTTGGAGGCTTCATCACACAGGTCGCCATACCACTACCATCCACCTACCACAGACCAAGGTTCGGCTGACGCAGTTCCAATAGCTCTAGGGCTCGCACAGGAGCCGCTGCTGGTGTGCTGCCTGCCTTCCAGCCATTCTTTAGTTGCAAACAAAGCCTGTCATCAAAGCAGTTTCTTAGCCGCTTCTTTGACGACGTTTCAGCTCTACTGGATTCTACAGGCAAAAAGGATCCAGCTGCCATGCAGGTCAAGCTTCCGACCACCCTTCGAACATTTACCAGACGCGGTCACAGTCTGTCAGGACGCTCAATGAGCCTCTCTTCTTCTGAGCTGTCCTGTCGCAGCACAAGGCGGCTCCGAGTCAAAGACTCTCCAGCTTCCAGGCGCCCAGAGGCAGACTCGAACCTTGCGATGCCAGCAATCCTTCGTTTGATGCGTAATGATGTTGATTGTTATCCACAACATTACTGACCATGTGTGGCATCCACAAATTTGCTTTCACATGGCTACGGGTTGTCAATGGTTGTCAAGGCTTGCATCCGGCAAGTGTGGAGTTGCATGTAGAATTGAATGTTACCTTGGTTGTTAATCAATCGAGTTATGATCATTCTAAATCATCATCCCACAGAAGCTCAAAAGAGGTAAGTCAAGGCGCTGTGGCCGTGCAAGCCGCTTGAAGGTCTCCAGCAAGAGTCCCTGCATGAGATCAGAATGCGTGACTCAGGCTCGCTTCGTCAAGGTGTGTCCAATCCCACTTCCAACTTGGCACCTTAATCAACTGCAACTCATCCCTAAAAAACCTTAATTAGGCCATTGCACTTCGGTTGGAGGCTATCGCTCTTAGGTTCCTTTTGCCGGTTTAAGTTATGTCAATATTAGGTTCATCAATCTCAATTAATTCAGTTGGAGAGGTGCTCAAGCTGGCGGACTTGGATGGGTTGTCCTCTTGTTCCCACGTGGGGCTGTGCGCAACATGTTTTTCCAAATCTGAACTTATGCGATTCTTACCTTTGCCTGGCTCGCCTTACGCAAATTTAGCTTCACTTGTACGGGGTGCCCATGTTCCGTATACTTGCCTGATCGTGCCTTCCACGAATGGGCACTGGCACCAAACCTCCAAATCTCCGCTGCACGCAACAACAATCGTTTTCTCCAGCGTTTGTTCATGAAGAATATGTTCTTACTAGGCACACACACACACACACTAGAATATTAGAAGCTTTCCTCCATCTGCTTAATCTTGCCAAGCGCACTAGTCACTAGTGAAGTAACGCGGAAAGATTAGTCTCTCGTCGTACGTCTCCCAGTTTCTCCCAAGCCTCCTACTCGAGAGAAAAGATAATGGCGGCACTCGCGAGGCGTCGGTGCACACCTCACACCTGAAAATATATGTTTGAACGCAACCGAAACCGAAGTAGCTTTCAAAGGTTTGCGTCGAGTGCATGCACACACGGTTGTCAAACCAGAGCATCTTGCTCCACTCATCAAACATCATCGAAGCCTATTGGGTTTGGATTCGGGTTTTGGATGTTCTTTGGATCAAGTGCATCAGGAGCCCGACCCAGAAGCCGCCGCAGCTGCCGTGCCCTTTTCAGGTCCACTGCACGCAAGGCAAGGTGCCGACGAACCTGTGACCGGTTCGACAATGTTAGACCATTACTCACCCTTTCAACGAAAAGGAAAGGTAAAAAATGGAGAAGGTTGCTCCTTGTTCTATCGATGGGAGGCCTGACAAGAATCTAATATCCATCGGCTTGCCGCTTGCCCATGCTTGACCTCTGGTCAACCTGAACCTGTGGTGAATTGTTCGATTGCATCGTGACGGCTAGATCTCGCAAAATCCACAATTGAAACAACACACCAACCCAACCAAAATCATAGCCGTTTGGGCCTTGGTCAGTTTCGTCATCTTTGAGCTTTCTACAACCTGTTATGGCGGGTGCGTGTCAAGATCAGCATCTACTTGTTCTATGGTGAGTGTGATTGAGTGCGTTAAGGGTTTCTCCAGTAGCCTTCCACTATATAGGTATCGTCAAGTCTAGCACTACCATTCTACTGCCAAGTCTTCACACAAAGCCTGGAACAAATATTAAATATAACTTGGTTTCCAAGTATGTACATTTCTGTGGAAAATCTGTGGCCATTGTATTCCTCACCTTGGAAGTCTTAGTCGCGACTGCTTTGGCTCCTACTATGACATCTGATGTCGGTCGTGCTTAACCAGCTCTGAGTAGCGACAATCCACGTCCATGAGTTTTTTTGGATTGCAACCAAACCTTCTTTGCAGCTGCAGCAAAGGTCTTCTCTGCTACCTGAGGGGCCAAAACAAACTCTAAAAGCTCGCAAATGTGCAGGCACATATGGGTGTGTCTGTGTTCTTTGCCATTGCATCATCTTGCATCTATCTCTCCCTCCCACCTAGAGGCTCTAGGAACTTCAACAGAACTTCGCAAGTGTGGATTGACTTTTCTTTGAAGTAAAGTGGCCGGAATCAGGAAAATGCTCAGTGGCCCCACATTGCAAAGCCTAAAGCATATATACCAAATAGCGATGGCCTCCAACCTAATAGTAATGGCCTCCAACCTAGAAGCGATGGCCTCCAACCTACTAGCGATATATTCTGTTCTGTGACACAGCTTGCTCAAACCTAGACATTGCTGTGATGCCGGCACTGCATTGATCGCAAGCGCTGTGTCGTGCCAAAAGGACTACAGCTTCAGTTCCTTAGATACAAGAAGTGAGAGATCTGAGTCTTGACAACCTTGCAACAAGTCTTGCCGGCCAAGGCATATAGCCATATAGCCCAGTCTGCAAATATCATATACATATATTTTTTATATTATACAAGAACTAACAACATATGTCATTGTATCCTGTAATACATAGAGTAATAAAGATTGCACGCCTTGCTAGCTGTCATATGTCTCCTGACTTTATCAATGTTGAGCAGTTGTGTCGAAGACAGGGGTCTGTACTAGGACAGTCTGGTCCAAACATGTCTAAGCCATATCAATGCCGAGTGATGCGCTTGAAGATGACTAAACTTGGTGAGCGCAGTTGCTCTTTCGCTCTCCCTCTCGCGGGACTCCGAGGCACCTTGTTTGGAAAGCTCTTTCAAGAGCTCAGCTTTGGATTGAAGGTGTGGCAAATACCTCTACCCAAGGACAAGACTTCCACAGCCGGAATTGGAAGCTATGACAAGCTTGTGTGACACGTCCAAAGAACCACAGCGAAGACATGGCTCTTTGTCACGAAGATACAAACTTTGCGTCTGACCATTCCGCATAGTCATTCAGCCCACGTGTATGACAGCCTATCGAGTCCACTCTGGTGAACTATATAAGCACTCGATCGTTGATTTGCCCGAACTTTGAGCTGATTCACAAACACATTGCTTCAATTGTACAAGACACATCCACGGCTAAAACCTATTAGACAGTGGCCTGAGATTACGAGCTTTGCTCGTGATATGAGAAATCAATGTTCAAGCAAACTGGCTGTGGAGTCACAACCAGGAGGCTTGGCGCTGAATTCCAACTACAAAAAACCAGCAGGTGCTTGGCACGCTGGTGATCTCTTAGCTTGCATGCACTGGATTCGTGAAAAGCCCTTACTTGAGGGGATTGAATGCAAAACCGCAGGCGTGTGAAAGCCTGAATTATGATGATGGCATATTGAGCATTGGTCTCAACCTGGTTGCTTTGGAGGAGTTTGAGTGCAGCAATTTCTTCAGAGCTATTGGAACCATTGGCCTTCTGTGTCCACCCATGTTGGTCTATGGCCACTTATGTGTCATGCTGCTTGGTTGGTGGTAGGGCGTGGCAGGGATTGGGGTTGGTTTGCTCAATTTGCCAAGTCTCGAAATCGAAGAGCCTGAGAATCTGGGCCCACTTATTGGGCTTCTCAGGAGCAGCACATCCTCCGAGCTCCAATCGCGAAGCCTCTGGGCACAGACCAGCAGGAGACCAGGAGACCAAATTCTCCAGATGATGTCTGTACTCATTGGCACTAAGACAAGCTAAGAGAAGATTGACAAGATCATCATCATCATCATCATCTTGCTGAGAAAGTTTTTGCTGAAGCTCTCGGTCGTTGAAGCAGCCACGAGCCTTGATAATCATCAACGTATCCGCTGGGGAATCGATGCCGTATGGACACTGCTATCCTGCACACAACATCTGATAGCACTCTCAGTGTGTTGACATATATAAAATGCGAGAACACACAGCCTTCTTGGCCATGTCAGGAGTTGTTAAAGGCCATGGGGCTTGATGGCAATCTGCTTCCGCCATATATATATATATACATATGTGAATTACACATAGTTGTGCATGCTTTGCGTGCAAAATACGAGTTCAAGCAGCAAAGCACTTCGATGAACAATCGAACTCGTCGTGCAGACCGTACCGGCTGGCTCTCCTCATGGATGGGCAGTTCCACCTCTCCGGCTGACATGGCAAAGCCTCGGCTTGCTTGGGAGACGCCCCCAAACGTAAAGAGAATTGACAAGCTATGAAAAGCTATAACTTATGCTATACTATGCCTGCATTTGCCAGGTCTCACTGAAGACAATTCGATTCGTTTCATAGGAAGACTGGACATCCCTGCCGAGGCACTACTGCCACTGGGTGCAAAGCGCCGACTAACTGGTTGGAGTGGCAAGGTACCTCATGTGATTGCATGTGCCCCATGGCAATATCAATACAATAACATACAATAACTATATATATATATAAGCATTCGCAACAGGGCATTTCAAAGGGGTCTTCATATCATTAGATTTCATTAGCAGTTGAATTTGATTATGCATCAGCAAATATTGGGAAGTATGTACATATATTATATATAATATATATATATGTATATAAACATGCTGAGCCTTGAATGAGCAAACCAGCGTCTTCACAGAGTCTATTAGGTCAAAAATCTGTGGTTTGGGCGACTCAACATTGCAAAAAATCTGGGGTCCAAACGCGCTTCTTGGTGCAACGCCGAAGGTGTTCCTATCACTGACCAAAGGGGACGGTATCACTGGTCCAAGGAATGGGATGGGCTTTGGTGTCCAGGACGTACATCCAAAAAAAGACTGTTCATGTTCAAGTGTTTGGGGTGATTGATGGTATATAGAGTTCCAAAGGGTCACTGGATCACCCTTCCTCCCCCCTGCCTGGTATCCCGTCTTCCCGAAGTCGGCCAGACAGCACCTGAAAGTGAAACCCAGCTGCCAGAAATGGGGAAGAAAGCAGCCTGTGTAGGAGAGTGGTCCAAGCCCATGTCCCATTGCACGTGTTTGTAGACAAAAGAGTAGAAGAAGCTAGAGATGTAGAAGGACTTGAAGCCGGGCTCCATAGATACCTTTATACTTTAAAACTAGCTTGCGAACCCAAGACAAAACCTCTTGTGGGTGTAGGACGTTTCAAGTAAAAGAGATGCATCTGTATTATGTTTTTTACTTGTCCAAGGTCCAATAGAAAATTCAATATAAAACTCCTCCTGGATTCAACATGCCAAAGTTGCCTGAGCCAGGAATGACTCCCTCTGCTGCAACGCTTTACCTTGGAGAAGGCTCACCCTAAATCATTGTGTAAGCCAGCGCCAAATTCCTTGCACCAAATACCAAGTCCCAATCCCCACTATGTTCCTCACCATTTGCTCAACCTGCTTTAAAACTTTGCAGGCCCATAGGTCATCAAGAGGTGCACAAGAGGCCTCCAGCACAGTTTGCCAAAACAAAGTGGGGACACCACCTTGCTGTCAAGCGACGCAATTCTGTTAGCTCTTGCTGCAGGCGTGCTGTTTGAGCCTTGGCTGGGTCAGAAATTCAAGCCAACCTTTGCAAGCAAGGGATAGTTCTACGGCTTTTGAGAGTATTCTTGTCAACAGCTTTCTTGTTTGTGTAGGAAGGTTTAGGGTCATCCAAAATCTAAGGCCTTTCCAGTAGCACTCTTGTTCATTGTAAGTCAAGTAGTGTCCAGTGGCATGAGGTAAAAGCCTCAGACCCTCAAAAAAGAAGAAAGTGCGCAGAAAAATAAGATTGAGTGTATTTAGTCTGGGCGTCTCGCTGCTGATTGCGCTGCGTCCTGAGCTCATGATGGCCCGAAGTCTGTCAAGTCCGTGTACTCACGGAAAGAAAGGTCGCCGGCTCCCACAAATCTAGGCCCATGCAAAGAAGAGACATGTCAGAGTAAAGCTGCAAACTCCATCGTTCCCCTATGGCTGAGGCCTTAACACGTTTTGCCTCTGTCAACTGTTTTGCCATATCCTGCGTTGCCACCCCAGCGAAACACCAACAAAGCATTTGGATCTATCCACTGAAGTGCGTTTTATAGTTCTAAAAGCGACAAGCGCAGTAGTTACCCCAAGAAAACTGTGTTTTTCAAGTATCCTCGACCCTGTTCTAGAGGATCCAAGTTGAAGTTCTCTCAGGAAGAAAGGAAGAAGAGAGAGAGAGAGAGGGATACACTATGACTATGACATCATGAAATCTCCCCAGCGCCTTTCATTGGTCATGCTATTCCACCGATTGCTGCGCAAATTGCCCGTCCAATTGGTACAGCTCGCATGGAATCACAACCTGCCTCCATCTCTAGGAGCCCTCGCTCGGCATGTAGCCGGTAACACCTTCAGCTCTGGCACCATCTGGAAGAATGCGGTCAGAGTCATAGCCCAAAAATTACAATTTATAACGCCATATACAATGTTCATCGGCAATGTATATGATCAAATTCTATGATGATCCACAAGCCTATGATCTATGATCTACTTTGGTATTCAAAACCAACCTTCACCACGTATCGCAGATCTTCTATGGGCGCGGCAGCAGCAGTGCTGTAATTAGCATCACCACTGCCAGCAGCAGCAGAGTGGCTGGTGGCAGGGGGCAGCTAGGGCAGGAAGGGAGCGCCACCTTATTCAATACGGAATAGGGCGCGAAAAGGTCATTGATCTCGCTCTGAACCAAACACAGCTCTTTATCGCCACATATCGCCACATCCAAAGGCGAAACACTCAACCAACTGTCTGCAGAATTCAATCAAGTTGGGCATGGCACCTTTCGGGTGAAAAATAGAACAGGCCCATGCTCAGTACACTACTTGACATTCAACATGCTAGTAGCGATGCCCTTTGTTCCTAGTAGCGGTGCCCTTTGCACTTAAAATAAACCAAGAATTGCAAAAAAGCGCTCGTGCGCCTGAGGATCCCAGGACCTCAAGACTTGACCGCAAGGAGTTCACCCATCCCTTCCCACAGCATGAATTCAGCGTACAGCGACTAAACTACTTGGGCCTCAACGAATATTAAAAGCGTCAAAGGGTGCGAACACTCCACATCTCAAAGAGCTTTCACAGGCAGCTGGTCATTTAAACAAAAGGGGAATGATGTTCTGACCCACTACTAGTAGCTTCTTGTTCCTAGTATATAGTGCCTTCTCATGCACAGTTCCGGGGTTATATTGTCAGCTTCGAAGCAGTCTAGCCGTCTTTGTGTTGCCAGACTATTATTACAGCAAGACTGGTTCATCGCTACCGCATGTGACACAACTGACCTGGGGGATACACCCCACCTTTCACGACTTTTCCTTCCCCCACCAGCGGCAAGGGACGCTACATCACAGTTTGACATTGAGGTATCCCCATACTACGAGTACCAACTGAAGCCAAAACCAGAATCAGCATGTGCTACAAGTCCTTGCTGTTTCGGCACTGTGGCTACCAGTTGTTGTGGTCTTCCTGGTTATTGATTCGGTCGTGGTAGTGGTGATGGTCGCTTTTGGAGCAACCGGCTCCTTCTCGTTAACGATGTTTTCATTACGGTTGGCTGGTGTTGCTGTCTCAAATTGTTTTTGCTGCTGTTCTTGCAAATCTTCTTCTGGTCTTTGTGGTGATGATGATATTGGTGGTGCTAGAGTTGCTGAGGCCGTGGTCGTAAAAGAAGTTGCTGACAAGTCGTGCTTATTGTTCTTGCACAAGTTGCATAACAATGAAAGCCATCAGTGGCTTTCAGTACCGTTGCAATCAAACTCCCCAGCATGTTGTCTTGGTGCTCGACGGGCAGGCCGTGAGATTGTCCATTCTTCCTGAACCAAACTGCAACACTTCAACTCCAAGCTGTGGATCGGTAGCTCCAGCATACCCACAAGAAAGTGCCGATGAATTCACACAGGGTCGTGGTTCAGCAAAAGCATTGTCCAAAGGGATGAGAACAAAAGTCATCAACATTCTTAGACTATCTCAGATTTATCCTTGCTCAACACATCTTGTACACTGATACTAAAACAAAGTCAAATGCCGTCGAACGCCGCAAAGTGTGTCAATTTGGTTTCGTTCACGCATGCTGCAAACTACACGAGCAAAAAAATCGCACATGATGGCAAATGTTCATTTGTTTGCTATCGTTTGTGATCACATGCACTAAGATAAAGAAAGAATCCAGTGTCTGTCTGCGAAATCAACTGCATCTGGTTTGATTCATGGTTGTGGACACCTCGACGGAAGCGAAGCAGTCTCAAAGGCAAGGCCAGGCCAGTTGAAGGAATTGAGCCGGACTCAACTAGGGTCCCATGAAAACCATATGAAAGAAGCGATCTGCTAAGCAAATGGACCTACGTTGCCAAGGACAGAAGATCGATTCAACATCCACCAGCAAACATATCAGCTCAACCCATTTTAAACCCCATCCCATCAGTTGAATATATGTAGAGAAGGTATGCTATGGTGTTACAGTAACAACACCTCCCACAATTGAAGGAACAACCTAAAACATTAAATTGAGCTGTGCGATATCATGCAAACATGCTGCTGTGTCTATTGGATGTTCCATTTGATCTGAGAAAAGCTGCAGCAAAAGTCCACTTACCACACAAATTTGGCCTCGGGCTTATTTAGGTGCTTCATATCAGTACGTCATGTCTGTGCAATCTTTATTGACAAAATCCTGCATGGATTGAAAGTTCATGATATATAAAGGAACAAGAAGTGCACAGGCAATTTACAACTTTTCACACTGACGTTTCCCTGGATCAGGCTCAGGAAGAGCAGGATCGAATCTGATGAAGTAAGCTCAAGGAGGCTGGGGCTAATCGAACTGGTTACTCCTCAGAAAGGCTCCGAAGCAAATATCGCTTGTATCTTCAACATTGCATTATGCATTGACAAAAAAATAGCATTGACAGGTGCATGCGTGTCCCAGGCTTCAAACCAAAGCCTCCATTCTACATCAAGAGCCTCTCTGTCAGCATCGATGATTCTTTGGCTGCAGGATGCTGCAGTTGTCCTTACCCTCAGAAGGTTCTTTCCTAAGTCCTGAGAGATGCTACTAGCAACCCCTTCATCCAGGCCCATCATCTCGTCGAAACAAACCTGCGAAAGTCAGCGAGGTTTCTGCGCAGGAAATGGCCATGTGTTTCACATGTAGAAAATCAATGTCACATCAATTTTGATGTGCGTGATGATGTTTAACACAGGCTGGCTCCTGGCTCATTATGCTCCGAATTCACAACAGAATGACTATCCAAAAACGCTGAGAACACACAGGAACTATAAGGAGATTGTCTCACTCGAAAGGAGTCACGCACTTTTGATCCGTTGCCAACCCCACATCCCAGGCTTCGGGAGCAGTGTCCCATTGGAGCACCCGCCAAAACTGCTTGACAAAAAGGATATCGGGAACATCAATGAACATCATAGGTTTTATATGTTTTTATGTGAGCAGAGGTGTGGGTTTCTCAGGCTGCAGCGGCAGCGGCAACATTCTGAAGACTTATATAACTTTTAGAGACAAACTCTGTGCTTGCATGTGTGGACATGTGAACGTATCCATGGCAATCGTCTAGCTACTGGTAAACATCCGGCCCCCTGCAGAAGGTTCACGTCATCACTTAACATCAAGGGACTACTATCCTTTTTCAGCTTTCAATTAAATCCACTTGCTCACGACCACTCTGTACTAATATGTTTGACGTCTTGTAGCGGCGGTTGCTCATGTGGCTATGGCTTTCTCACTCCCAAACATCAAGCTTTGCGAAGCCATCAGGCATTCCCCCATCCAAGAAGCCATCTGAATCCACGTGTCCCTGCGGCAAACAAGCGTTGTGGCCTGGGCAGCTGTACTCTTCAACCTTGGAGAGATGGGGCGGGCCCAACGCAAACGACCGATAAGTATTGAACAATGGGACACAGGGGCCTTGGATTGTGGGTTTGGCAGTCCTCAACGGAAGGCAAAAGACTGAACAATTGAACATGTGGGGTCCGAAAGCATCTCAGGAACGAGTGGGGCATCATAGCTTCCAGGTAAATGTGTTATCAATGGGCTTGTGCCTGGTGAATGATCAAGATTAGATGTCCTTGTGCGAATCCAATAGAGCGTCTCGCTCGTGACGGTCATCGGCAGTGAATGCAACTGGAATGCTGCTCGGGGGAGCACCTCATTGACATCTGGGACTCCAGTTGGTTCCACAAAAAGATCGATGTATGCAGTGATACCGTCGAGGTCTGGATCAGAATAGTGCACATGCCAGTGCATGGTCCCTGGAAGCGGTGAGTCACTCTCCCCTTTCTCCACCGTAAAGCCACCAGCTTGTAGGCGTTCTCGGAACTCCTTCATGCTAAGGCCATTCCTTGGCGTCTTATGCTCCAGAGCGTCTCGTTTCCGAACAAAGAAAGTCCTCCTTCCAAATTTGGACACCCCAGAACCATCTTTAAGAGAATAAGATGTGATTGAAATCCTTTCAATATAGGAACTGTTCCGACTAGGCAAAGATGTGTCCGCTTCCTTGCCCGGATCTGCCTGGCTACCCCCTGGATGGCCTACCCCCACTGCCACTAACGAAAACCGAAAACCTATATAAAAGGAGTCTCCAAAAAGGAGTCTGCCTTGAAATGTATTGAAAAAAATCACTGAGATTCAACCTTGCCATGAGATCGGCGTCGTGATCCCAGGGCATCACCTCGCCGGTGGTGCCTCCAAGACGTAGCAGGCTCAAAGCGCTTCCAAAGACTGGCAAAAGAGTTGCTCTCCCCGCGCCAAAGGCCTAGAATCTTTCTCACACGCCAGCTGAGCTCGCAGCTCGCCCTTTCTTTTTCACAATGAACATAGACTTTAGATGAAGAATCAAGAGTAGTACAGTACAGGATTTATATAAGTACAGTTGGCACAGCTCGCTCCCTTCTTCAAAAAAAACACTTGCCTCCCAAACCTCCTTGAAACGCCGCATGGCATGCTTTAAGGCCAAGCGTATGCAGTAAGGGGCGACCATCCGAGCCACATTCGCAGAGATTGCATCCAATTCAGTTCCTTCTCTGATGCACCTCAACTGCACAGGTCCGTTGGGGTGAAAGCGAGCAGCCTCAATGTTGTAGGCTTTTGCAAAAGATCTTTCTAGGGCAGTGAAGCGCAAGTAGGATTCCTCTTGCAAAAGTGTAGCACCAGAGGTCAAGCACGTCAAAGCAGTACCTCCTGCTCTCTTCAGCTCCATATCCAGTCCAACCATCCAGGCAGAACCTAGAGAGCTCCAGGGAGCGCCTTGTACAGTTCCCTTCAGCAAAACCCTTAAGGCCGAGGCATTGTACACCCGGGTGCCGCTGGTGGTGTCCCCACCAAAGCAGTGTGAGATATCACCTCCCGTCGGGTCAGCCCAGGCGCGATACCCCACCGGATAGCGTGCTGCACCCAGTTTCCAATACGCATGGCGTAGACGCAAAATCGGCCATGTCCAAGTCGCATTTGACATTGTGGGAAGCCCAACCACTTTAGCACGTGGATCAGACTGCATGAGATTCGCCAAAGAATGTAGACCAATTCCCTCAAATAGGACTTTGAAGTCCTTGAGAAGGGGAGATATTAGCACCACAGATCCCTTCAGCGCACGGAAATTCTTGGCACGCAGGCGTCGGTCGTAAAATTGGAAACAAGCTGATAAAAGCATGGCGTTGTCCTGCTCTGCCTCCTTTGGAGGAACATGCACGGAAACGGCATAATGCAAACCAATCATCATGAGCAAGTTGTAGGCAAAAGCATTCACCTTGGGGCCGCAATATAACACATGTCCAAGGAGTTTGTAATAGCGTGTTGAGGACCACTGAGGAATGCAAAGGACTCCAAATGGATCATGCGGCTGGCCTCTGCACTGGGCGTGGTAGCTTTGGCCGAGCGATCCCCAGGTTGCTCTCTCCTCTGCTAAGTCAGCTGCTACTGTGCTGGCCGTCGAACCGATGCAACAACGCCCCAGAGAGAATCCTGGCCCGAAGCAGGCTCGATGTCCAAACATGCAGCACGACTCTCGAATTGGCCCACAGCCATAAACGGGTCCCGTCTCAGGTAATGCCCAACAGCGAAGCGATTCAGTGAACCAAACACTTGGCGCGAGTGCTTGTTCACAACATCGGCTACTTGCCCCACCGACTGGGCACTCAGGAAAGGTCTGGCCTTCCATGCAACAAGCCAAGAATGTGGCCTTGCCAGAGAAGCAGGGGCGCCGATGCAGTGGTGCAGACACCGCAAGTGTGCCATTTGCTGCATGCGCCATGTGTACAGTGCTTAGTCTTGTGTTGAATACAATAAATGTCCATCATTTATTACGTATAGTTGGTTATTTGAATCGAAACTTTCCACACAGTACTAAAAACATATCACCATTCCCAAATATGGATGACAAAAGCACAGATGTTTGAAACGACCACCCAAATGTTTTAAACGACCACCCAAATGTTTCAAAAACGGATGCAACCCAAATGATTCACAACTTGCATTCTCATGGGATCAATGAGACTCCTGAAACGACTTGCGGGAATCAACATCGAAGGTTTTTCTTTGCCCCTTACTTAATTATACAAGTAGGCGCCTACTTAATTAAAGGAGTAAGCTAGCTATTGAGACTACTACATATGGACACCGGATAGCTCACGCTTCAAGGAAGCACCCCCCCGCCCTAAAGGGGCACTCATGATGTGGTTTCTCGATGTTTAGGCAAACTTAACATAACAAAAGGTTTTGTGACACCGGTCAAATTCAAAGGAAACAAAACCAATGACACGGTCAATAACACCTGTGGCAAATAAGTATCAATGCCTGAATAATTGTAAATTATTGTGTTGTAATTGGAACAGGTTCTTTGCCTGGGGTGTTTGGTTGAAATCAGATTTGTTTACTATTGCTTCCCTTTAAGATCCTTGCTTGTCCTTGCTTTACCTCTTCTGACGTTTTAGATACTTGATTCCTGCAACTCTTTTTCAAAAACCCTTGTTCAATCTTGCCGAAATCATTGCTCCAAACAGTGTCTCAAGGGGGTAGTACACAAGCCCCTGGAAGGGAATGAGAGGAATTGTTTTCAGGGTGCAAGGATGCAAAACTTGGAGCCCTGGGAAATATCGAGCTTAGTTTGCTATGTTTCAGCATGTGTTTCTTTTTAGGATCCTTGCTTAGTTTCTGGTGGGCTTTTGCTTCAATCTGCTTAGCTGCACGTGCATGCCTGTTTCACTGCTAGTGACTAGTGCCACTACTACCGCAGCCGCGGCCACCACCACTACGACTACTGCTACTGCCACTCCTGCTACTCCTCCTACTACTCCTGCTAATTCTACTACTCCCTACTCCCTACTCCCACTCCCATTCCGACTGCTACTGCTACTGCTACTGATACTATGACTACGGCTACGACGACGACATCTCCCTCACTTGTTTGCTAGAGAGGGGAGTTGATTATATTAAGATCTGGCATTAGAACATTAACATGACGGTGAAAAATGGCACCTTGGACTACCATTTACCTCTACACACAGGTGGTTTTCGACTTCGATTATTTCAGGGTGTATACAGAGTTGCTCTGGGCACGTCTCAAACTGTGAGATACTAAAGCACACGACACGAAAGCAACAGGGAACCCCTGCCTCCTCACCTCACAGCATGGCAGGCCGAACTTACTGCACATCCATAGCATGGTTCAATCTAAATCAGATTGTGTGGATTCAGCAGAACGATGCTGGCCTCAACAATCCAAACAAAAGAGGGTGACATGTCTTGCAGCACTGCAAGCTGAATGTTGTCCATGCGTTTGACAAGAATATGTTCCAAAGCCCCATCTGGGAAGCTGTTGGCCTGCGGATGTGAGGGCACAAACCACCACAATCATTTATATAGCCATTGCTTTTCTCGTGTTGCCACTTTTGCAATGCAGAACCAAACAATATGAATCTTCAGAAGCTCTCAATTTCTCCGTTCTGCTGCCTCTTACATCATCTTGGAATCAATCCAGCACTGTGCCTTCTCCAGGCGCTGATTCACACAGAGTCGGTGTCAATGCTTGGTAGCAGTACCGTGCATATCTGCTGCAGGTCTTTGATGCCCTTACCAGTTCAGCACACTGTACACTGGGTTGCCAGGGGGTGTTGGCTCGAATCCAGCTCAGCAAGGAAAACAAAGCGATAACCGAGGCCGCTTCAAAGCCAGGCTCCCCAAAGGTTCCAAAGCGTGGCCATTGATTGGACTGGTCAGGATACTAGTAACTAGCATACAGTACACAGGAATCACTATCATTTTCTTGACTTTGTGGAATCTCCGAATCCTCCAACCGACCACTCTCCCCCACCACACCACTCAAAGTATCAATAGCAGCTCCTTGTATCCCAAAAGACCGAACACACCTAAGGGCACAAGAAAATTGCTCACATGTACCACGCGATTCGGCGGCTTTGGAACCATGATGGCACACAGAATCAAATTACATTCTGAGAAGGCAACTACTTGGTGCAAGAGGTGCCAGCCAGCCTACCCTCCAATCAGCTAAACTTCAAGGCCCTTGAAATAAATGTGCTGGAACCCCTATAGGCTATATATAGGCATAACCTCTTTGAACAAGACCAGGACTTCCTGTTTACTTCTTAAACCGTCTTCCTTTGTTGCCTTTGTTCACATCCATTCCGTTGCGCCACTGCTTGCAAATGCTTCCACACTAATCAACCGACGTATCTGTGACTGCTGCGTCAACCTGGCATCCTCAGCCATCCTGCTAGCATCTGGCCCAGAGCCTTTCAAGGAGCACCCTGTAATGGCCAGAGGTGCTATAAACAAAAGCACGGCAACACCTCAGCTGGATGCAAATCCGCTGTAAGCGGAGAGAGCGTCAAGATGGGCCTTCGCTGGATATGGGCCTTCGCTTGGCACAGAATATCTTGTCATCCATCGGTCTGGAGGGGTCTTCTGGAGACTGCCATACAAGCAGTTCTCGCATATTGAAGCCTCCATTGAAGAAATACACAAGACACAGCTCAAGCCACACATAATGAAGAGACAACAGAAGTCTTTTGGTGCAGTTTGCGGCTGTGTTTGTCATTGTCCCTCAGGATCCAGCCAACAGCGGCGGGATCAGAAATGGAATGACACACGCCTCAGTTCAAAGAATTTGGCTCCATCAACATCTACAAGCTGGCAGTGGATTTTGCCTTGCGTGATTTGATTGGTGGTCTTTTGTTGTTCCAATCAAACAAATTGGGAGTACTTGTCATCCATAATGCAGGTGAGAGGCGGAGGTACCGCAGGTGCATGGCATGAGGATCAGCAAGGCAATGATCCTTGGATTCAGATCTTACACGCTGAGGAGTGAAATTCATGTGTCCAAAGAAGCCACAACCGGCACGGGTTGCAGTTCAAAGCGCCACGCCTTGTCTTCCCGATTTTTTTCAGAAAATTCAGCCATGTCACGTGAGGATGATCATGAAGCTGAAGAACCAGCAGCATCCTCCAAACAATGCTCAAGCCATCTTCGAGAGTAATTAGATGAAGCACGGTTCTACAGAGGTGGCGTGCTGACGACAAAGAGCAAATCGTTTTTGGAGGAATTCAGGGGACTTTCAACCCGGTCCAGTATCACCTTCAATCCAATGAAGTTGATGGTCAGAACAAACCAGCCTCCTCGAAGACGCAATACCAAGTGAAGAGTGGACTCCTTCTGAATGTTGTAATCAGACCTTAGGTTTCCACTACTCCCGTATCCCTACTAGGAGCAATGACGCTACTAGGGGCTCCTGGCCTTACTACTAGGAGCAAGGACGCTACTAGGGGCTCCTGGCCTTACTACTGGGAACAAGAAGCTACTAGGAGCAAAGGGCATCGCTAATAGGAACAAGGACGCTACTAAGGGCTCCTGGGGGCATCGTTACTAGGAGCTCCTGGCCTTACTACTAGGAACAAGAAGCTACTAGGAGCAAAGGG